TCGAACGCTGTGATTTCATTTCCCTCAATTAAGCTGAGCTAATATCAAACTCAGCACTCACTCTGTGTGTGTTTGCCTACGACACACTATGCCCCTCTGCCTGTGCTTGTGTATTTCTCTGCGCATCACTGCCCGGTGTGTTTGCTATCAGCTCATCACAACCAGCAGAGAACCGAGTGTGTCTGGCTGTGTGTCAGAAAGCAGAATCGCAGCGAATGCAGCAGGTCCGCTGTGCTGTGACAGCCCATAAAACAGCAGGGAACAATTTTCCCCCTTAAGAGAGGTCGGAAATGTTGTCACTGTAATCGCCAGTTTTCCTTTTGGCCGGCATTTTTTTCATTCATACTATGGGCTGGTAGAGGAAAGAAAAGGAAGGAAAAGATAACATGCAACAATTAGGGTACGACACACTGTCAGACAAACTGAAGCCAGGGAGCCATTAATGAGAGAATATCATATCAACCTCCAGAGAGAACTGGCTGCGGACGCCATCCTATTACCATGCAATGTCAGAAAGAGCCTCAATATAGATGTCACAAGACAAAGGTGGGCTGCAGTTGCCAGCCAGAAGCGATAAAACCCTTCCTGTGGGCATCTAATACCCACATTCCCTGCCAGAATTACAAGGAAATACACATAAAGGTGTGATAATATAAATGTTGCTAAGGCTACCAACTAATTAAAATGCATTCTGGATGACCTTATCACAAGTCGACAGCTCCTAAAATAGCTTTGAGTGCAGCCAAAATAGAGGACAACGTGTGCTTAAACTGCAGTATGACAAAGCCTAAAACACATCTATTCCTGATGAAAAGGCAAACAAATCATTTGTGTCGGTCTCAATGGCTGTGATTTGAGTTACAGGGTTTCCTTCCTAGCTTTATCTAATTTTCAAGTCCTTTTTTTCCCAGTATGCAAATGTCCACTGCAGTCCTCTTTTATAGCTTTAAGGCAAAAAGGCCATATACGTATTTTTAGCCATGCTAGCGGCTAAGCTCTAGGAATGGTGGTCTGTCGGTTCTCTGTTTGGCCTAGACTGAAATATTCCAACAACTATTGGATGGATAACCTTGACACTCTCTGATACACTCATGCTTTCCAGAGGATGCACCATGATTACTTTGTGATTTCCCTAATTATCTTCCCTAGCAACTGTTGAGGTCTCAACGCTCTTAAAATGTCTAAAAACGACTTTATTTTGTTCAGTCATGTATGTACATTATCCAAAATGTTTCCATCTATTTTATAAACCTAGATAATTGTAATAAAGGTAAACATTTGTTTCATTGAGTTGCCTGAAGCGGTGTTTGAGCATGTGTTAGCGTGCCTGCAAGAAGCTGTAATACCTTTACATTTAACCTATTTGAAGACACTTTTTTTTCTAACCATACACTTTTTAGATCTTGGTTATTTTTAACCAATGAAGGAAATTAGTCATCACTGACTATTGACCTAAACCAACTTAATTCAGTTTTGTTATGAGCTGTTACATTTGTCTTGTCCAGGAGACCATCTCCTGGTAAAAACCTCTGGAACATCTGGATATTGAGTTGTAAAAGAAGAACAGCTGCGGCATCCCCTTTAGCTCATAGCCCCTCTGTGTCCTCCAGGGAAACGCGACACTGATTAATTCATTGCTTTAACCAGTTTCACTCATTAGGTCCCTAATTTGAGAATACCTCTGCTAAAAATTTGGCTCCCAGTTAGAAAACCTGAACAACCAAGGAATCTTTAACAAGAGAAGCTGAGTGCACTCTACATGTGCAGCACAGCCTCACTGAGCAACAAGCATGGCTGCAGCTCTCTTGTTGAAGCTGCTAGTAGTCACAGTTATCTACTGATACAAATTATGATTGAGAAATTGGACCGTTTAGCGCAAGTGATCTAATGAGATGTGTTTGGCTGCTTTTTGTAAAGAGATATCAATGGGGCACTATTATGCTCATTTTCATATTTATATGTTGTGCCTCTACTGTGACATGTTTCCATGCTTTAATGTTCAAAAAGCTCTTTAACTGTTCTCATACTGCTGCCTGTGCTGCAGCACCTCTTTTCACCCTCTGTCTGAAACCAGAGCCCAGTCTGGTTAGCTGGCCGACTCTGTTGTGATTGGTCAACAGCTGCTTAGCCTGTCACACATAAGCGCTAGCCAATAAAAATGCATGTTACATAATGATGTCACTATGTTACAGAAGTAAAGAGAAAATCCCTCTGGGGGGGAACTTTGGGACTCTAGCTTTTGCAGACCATTTCCATGCTCTAAAACATAACCCATACAGGAAAGAGAAAACCCCAAAAAGCATTATAGGGCCTCTTTAACATTACTCTGCATCTTGTCGGTTAAACTTTATTGCAGTTGCACAGTTTCTTGAGGGGACCAAGTAACTGATCTTTATTGTTTATTGGTCGCACAGAGAAGGTCAACAAACCTGCCTGGTTTAACTTTATTCAAGGTTGTTTATCGGCCCTCAGAGGAAATGACCTCATTACTATTCTTTTACTGTGTGCGCTCGTACACGTATATTTAGTCCTCCCGCCTGTGAAAGTGGACAGGCCGCTGTTTAAAGAGGTGCCAAGGTAATTGTGATCTATATTTGCAGAGAGAAGATAATAAGACGCATACAACTTAATGATGTATATAGACACCCTGATCAATACAGTTACTATTCAGCAGTTTTTAATGAAGGATTATTGTCCCGGTGCTCTTGTTAGAGGCGGATATTGAGCTGTATCACATGGCTTTGTTGTGTTATTTATCTGTGTTAGAAGATGACATTCAGAGCAGTGCCACAAATATGCCGCAGCATATTAAGTCGCAGTGGCTTTTGACACTTTGGCGAGCCTCCGAATTATTACTTTAGAGAGATGTCTGCTCCATCCCCCCGACACACAGCGTCTCCTGTCATGGTCAATTTTTCTGAATTATCGACATCTTCTGTCTTTCTCTACAGCAGAATAATGCTATGCTGTTTTGTGTTTGATTATTGCAGGTACTGTACAACCCTTATTTCTTATATCTAATACAATCTTAATCCAGAAGCTAAAGGTTACATTTATTTTATTACACTATACTTGCTTGGCTAATTTGAATCTAGGAATGAAAGATGTACAGGACTGTCTCAGAAAATTAGAATATTGTGATAAAGTTCTTTATTTTCTGTAATGCAATTAAAAAAACAAAAATGTCATACATTCTGGATTCATTACAAATCAACTGAAATATTGCAAGCCTTTTATTATTTTAATATTGCTGATTATGGCATACAGCTTAAGAAAACTCAAAAATCCTATCTCAAAAAATTAGAATAGTTCCTCAGACCAAGTAAAAAAAAAAGATTTATAACAGCAAAACACAATCAAACATTTGAAAATGTCCATTAATGCACTCAGTACTTGGTTGGGAATCCTTTTGCACGGATTACTGCATCAATGCGGCGTGGCATGGAGGCAATCAGCCTGTGGCATTGCTGAGGTGTTATGGATGCCCAGGATGCTTCAATAGCGGCCTTTAGCTCATTAGCATTGTTGGGTCTGGTGTCTTTCAGCTTCTTCTTCACAATACCCCACATATTCTCTATGGGGTTCAGGTCAGGGGAATTTGCAGGCCAATCGAGGACAGTAATGCCATGGTCAGTACACCAGTTACTGGTGGTTTTGGCACTGTGGGCAGGTGCCAGATCATGCTGGAAAATGAATTCCTCATCTCCATAGAGCTTTTCAGCAGACGGAAGCATGTAGTGCTCTACTGAGACTGCCAAGGCACACNCAACCCAATTTTCCGAAAAGTCAACGGATCCTGGCCGTATTCGTGTAGTATATAAAATGTATTTGCTCCCAGACATTCATGTGGCTTGCTAGTTTTGGACCCTATCTGTAACCCCAATACACATAGGGGACTTTAAATCAGCCCATCATTTATCAGGGTCTATGCAGGAATCCTGAAGTCGAATTTAAAACCTTTTAAGACCTTTTTTAAGACCCTTTCCATACATTTGAAGACCTCATCGCCACTTGGAGTTCTAACCGGTTACCTTGGCGACACACTTCACCTCACATTGACTATATACAGTATTGATTGTCCTTCCTCCTTATCTTCCCACCATTTGGACGCAAACTTACATTTCCCCATAACGATGTTGTTTAACAACCGGCGTAAACGGAGCTTCGCGCGCCATCAAGCAGTGAGCGTGCGATGTCCTGTTCAGATGACGTCAAACCCAACGGGATGCCATAAATAAACTACACAGAATCACATTACACACCTACGCAATGATTACATTCAGACAGACTTTAGAATACAACCTCTTTGGACAATTTATATACTTATTGAAAACAAGCGACAAAATGTAATACCTTGGGAAATGCCGTTTAATACTTTTGAATACAGTACTTATTAATAGTCTTAATTTTGGCTAAATTGCTTTATAAACTTGTAACACTTTTTAAGACCCCTGATCAATTAAAAAATAAGTATTGATCATCTGTTGCTGAAATATTAATTATTATAAAATAATGGTATTTTAAACATTTGTTTCAGTTTGATGTGACAGGAAAACTAAATCTGTATGAAGGAAAACATAAAAAATATTTATTTTTTTTTAAAAACAGTGTGAGAAAATATGTTTTGTTGATGATGTAAGCATTATTTTGAATGTATGCATTCACAACATCTTGTATGTGCAATCATTTCCATAGATAGAAAACAATGATTTAATAATGTTAATAAAATGTCTACATAAAGTGTTGCATAAACACTCAAATATAAAGATATGCGTTCTTATTAGATAATCCAAAATGGCTGATACAGTGTACAACTGCAAACCAACACATATCAAAGACAACCTTGGTTTGACTTTAGTAAAAAGAGAAATTGGATTCTTAATGACAGCGGCTGAATGAGAATAAATAAAAGCTCCCCCTCTTCTAACCTCCCTTCCCCTCACGACATCATTTAACCCCGACTGATTGCAGCTCACTTTATGACGGACAGAGACACTCACCTGGTGAACTGAGGTCAGGATCCACTCTGGCAGCGCGTCGACGTCCACGTGCCAAATACTGCACCCTGCCTCTGAGCTGTCCTCTGTGGCCTCCGCCTGCCGCCACATTACGGACACACAATCAGCGAGATCATCCCCTCACACACACTGATAGCACACCATGTTTTTTATGACTGAAACAAAAGCTGTTATCTCTGACTTTCCCAAACCCGATGCCCCCCCGACAGCTTTAGACGACTCGCTGTGATTAGGACAGCTATGACTAACGTAAAATGTCATTTTAAGTTCAAAAGGTGAGATTAAAGTGAAAAATGGTTACCACTAAAATTAGAAATGTGGAATGATATATATATATATATAAGAGAAGAGCAGTAAGTCCTCATATTTCAGAAGCTAGATAGTAGGGCTGCACAATTTGGAAATAAATAACTATTTGAGATTATATTTACCTATATTGGAATTGGATATGATTTGCGATATCGGAGGGATTATCATTTTTTAAACATGTTCACAATTTCACTTAAAAATATATTAATATGATCAAAGTGTGATTTTTTTAAGAGGATCTGTACCAATTAAGTATATTTTATTAAGTTCCTAGATGAGTATTTTTAGGCTGGGATTTGTCTGCAGTACCATCATATCAGATATTTAACATATTTTGTCTTCACCAAATATGCTAACTGTGGCGTGAATATTGCGATTTCAATATTTTGATAAATTGTGTACATAATATGTATCAGTTATGAGACAGGGAATCTAAGTCTGTATGGAGGGAAATTACACATTAGTACTAATTTTGTTAGCATTATTTGCCATGTTGGGTCCTCAATGCTTTTTATGTGCAACAATTGCCATAGATATTGTTTTTTCTATTCTAAATTGGACTGTAATGTAACCTTATTGGTCATATATAAATACTGAACAATAAGTCATACACTCTTGATTGTAAAATGTGTTAAACAACTGAAAAAGATTCCCTTTGTTGTGAAAGGAAAAATTATCAATCAACATATTGTTTCATGAGCTATAACTGTTCAACAATTCCTTGAATGCAAGCTCTGTAGCAGCTTACCTAGCAGTGGAGTAAAGACAATGCACGAGTAGCACTCAGTAGCATAAGAAACCTGATGTACTTATATGATTCTGTTTTCTTCTAGTTTGTATCTTCTTGGTCGAGTGCACTTATTGTAAGTCGCTTTGGAAAAAAGTGTCAGCTAAATGTAATGTGATGTAATGCATGCGAAAACATCTCAAGTCAAGTTGCTAAACACATAATAAACGCATAAGATGCACAAATTGTGTACCAACCGTTGACAAACAGGTGGAGTCTACGACCCTTTTCCGACACCTCCTGCAGCGGAGCATGGTCCTCTCTCTTTGGGACATCTGAGGTCACGGTCCAGCTGTTGATGATGAAGATACTGAACACACAGCGGCACTAACACACACTTTCTTTAGGTTTATGTCAGAGTTAGTTATAATGAATTTGTTATTTTTCTTTTATAGCCATTCAGCTCTATTTACTAGGAATATTTCCAGAAATCCTGACACACCATGTATCAGGTTTTATAGACTTTGTTTTGCATGTGACTCTCGCATTAATTACATTAGTAATAGTATAATAACAATGTTATTTAAACTGAGTTACAAAGTGCCTTCACATAAAACGATTTAAAACAGACTAAAATATACCAAAAAACCCGCAACTAAAACAAATAAAAAGTATAAAACATGAATACAATATGTTCAAAAAAGTGATTTAATAGACTGGATGTAGTTTGTAGCCCTGATCCAAGACAAACAAAGTAAACCGTGTTTAAAAAGACGTGTTGCTTATCAAACCCAAGGCTAGACAGCTATTTAAAAATAGGTGCTATGAGACAGGTATGAGACAAGTCAGTGCAGCGAGACAGTTATTTACATCAGCTATGAGGTAACCTGATGCTACACACTGTGCAGCATGTTTACCAGCATATACCATTACATTAATAATGATGTGGTTATTATTAGAGTGAACTTCTTTAGGATTCAAAGAGGAACACATCCTGTTGTATGCATTGGCTCAAACCATGGACTTAGTTATAATATAATACAAATATAGGAGTAGGCTACTTTGCTGTAAAGCCTGTTGAAACTCCATTATTAAGCTACGAGCCTAGTCATGGTGTTTATTTAGTGCAAGGGATTTCCGTCAGTGTTAGAACTACATAAACTAAGCTACAGTCTTAAATATGATTGCATGTAAGCTAAACTACATAGCCCTCAGTGTAATAATTAAATTCAATGTGTTGCTAACTTAGCTCCACAACAACAGACTCTCTTTTGCATGTTTTCACCAAGACATAACATTCTTAAGATAATGACAGTCAGCATGTGAGTATATTTAATAAACATACTCGCCTTGCTGACAGCTGAGGATTCTTTTAGGACCTTGTAACGAAGAAAACCTGTTAAGAAACAATAAAAGTTGAGCAGCCTTTTCGCTTTAAGTAAGGCTGTGACGTCATGAGAACTGGGACGCTACGGAAAGTCTAACAGATCAAAAATAGGATATCCGTTTTGTTTTATGAGTTTATTGACTTGTTCGTTTATTTATAAGGACAACATTAATCATTTTGAACATATTTGTTTGATATTTAAATAAAAAAACATTATCATATGCACACGGACGTCTTGGGTGGTTAAAAAACAATACATTATTCCAAGAAAATGTGTACACTCATGATCCACATACATTTTCTTTTCGCATTCAGTTTATTTTATTAACCGGCAGTGCTTTCTTCAGCTTGGGCAAACCAGAATGATGTTGAACACATTTAGACACTTTCATTAGGCTATATTTATAACATTTTACAGAAATGACTTCTATTAAATGTGTACAATGGATGTGTTGTTTACTGCACACTGGTTTGACATAGTATTATACAATGTATTTGTAAATATGCATCCTTAAAAAAAAAAATGGTTAGTTTCACTTGAAACAATAAAGGATGACCATCATACAGTCAATGATCACCATTTAGTAATTTTAATGAAAGTGGACCAACGCCAGGGGGCAGTGTCCCACCTGGCGGACACAGAGCGCTGACCGTGGTGCTGGTAAAACAAAAATAACGCTTCACTACTTTGTAAAAAAGGTATTTAAAATGTGAGAATAAACAATATACTTACTGCGAACAAGGTAAAAGATAAATCATTATAAATTCTTTTTAATTGTTGTTCTCTTAATTACAAACAAAGTTGTGTATTGCACAAAGGAAATTCCAAAAACCCAAATAATAATAATAAATTATAATTGTTGTATTCTTATTATCATCATTATTATTATTACTGTTGATTGTTGCTGTCGTTGTTTTCCCTTCTTTTCTTTTGTATAAGTATTATAACAAGACAAACGATGCAAAACAGATCAGTTCACCAACACCATTAAAATGAGACTCAACAAGTAAAACATTTCATAAAAAGGAAATATTTCAAAGCTTATTTTTCCACCGAAATCGCAAAATCCACAACAAATTTACTTTAAAAAAGTTGCAGCAAGAATACCTTTGTTAGTCCCAGAGAGGAAATTTGCAAGAAGAGGAACACACATGATATATACTATTAAATTAAAATATTGTGGTTCTGTAATGTATTTTTTAATAATTCCCGAATCTCCTCTGCCTCAGCTGCAGACTAAACAGACCCAAACCTCCAAACTGAGCTCCATCCTCACAGAAACATGACGCATTTTCCATCACTGGTATAAATACGCAGCATCATTCTCCGTGAGCAGCCGACACTCACAGTTCAGACTCTCTCTGCTGCGCGAGGCAGTCCCATAGTCCACTATGCGCTCTTCAAGGTGCCACGGTGTGATGCGCACCGGGCTCTCCATCAAGTAACAGCAAGCTCTCCAAACCCAACCAACGATGGAGGGCGCGAACAACACGACCGCCTGGCCTGAGTTTGACAACTCTTCCAGCAACAAAACCCTCACACCTGAAAACGAGGAGGTGAAGCTAAGTTATCAAATAGTCGCATCCCTTGTGCTCGTGGCGCTCATCCTGTGCGCAATATTTGGGAACGCGTGCGTCGTTGCAGCCATCGCCTTGGAGCGGTCTCTCCAGAATGTTGCCAATTACCTGATCGGTTCTCTGGCTGTCACAGACCTGATGGTGTCAGTGCTGGTGCTGCCCATGGCGGCGCTTTACCAGGTGCTAAACAGGTGGACACTCGGGCAGATCCCATGCGACATTTTCATCTCTCTGGATGTTTTGTGCTGCACCTCGTCCATCCTCCACCTGTGCGCCATCGCCTTGGACAGATACTGGGCGATAACGGAGCCAATAGAGTACATGAAGAAGAGGACACCGAGGAGAGCCGCGGTCCTCATCAGCGTCACCTGGCTAGTGGGATTCTCCATCTCTGTGCCACCGATGTTAATCATGCGCTCCCAGTCCAGCAGCATGGCAGAGGACAGGGCGAACCCAAAGCAGTGTAAGATCAGGCAAGACCCCTGGTACACAATATACTCAACTTTCGGGGCTTTTTACATCCCGCTGATACTCATGTTGGTTCTTTATGGGCGGATTTTCAAAGCAGCCAGGTTTCGCATCAGGAGGACTGTGCGTAAAACGGAGAAAAAGAAAGTTGCCAACTCTTGTTTGGCGCTATCCCCAGCCCTGTTTCACAAAAAGAGTCCAGGGGATGTGCATGGCAAAAGCTGGAAACGGAGCGTGGAGCCCCGGCCACTGCTTAGTGTCAACGGTGCGGTGAAGCACGCGGAGGACGGAGAGTCTCTGGAGATCATCGAAGTTCACAGCAACTCCAAAGGCAACCTGCCGCTGCCCAACACCCCCAGCTCCGTGCCGCTGTTCGAGAACAGGCACGAGAAGGCGACAGAGGCGAAGAGGAAGATCGCGATGGCACGGGAGCGAAAAACGGTGAAGACTCTGGGCATTATCATGGGCACCTTCATCCTCTGCTGGCTGCCCTTCTTCATCGTAGCCCTGGTCATGCCATTTTGCCAGGAGTCGTGCTACATGCCCCGCTGGCTGGAGGATGTCATTAACTGGCTCGGCTACTCCAACTCTTTGCTCAACCCCATCATTTACGCATACTTCAACAAAGACTTCCAGAGCGCTTTCAAGAAAATTATCAAGTGTCATTTTTGCAGACCGTGATGGACATCCAGGTGACAGCCCTAAAAAACCAACAGCCTATAAGAACGTGGGACAAGGAGATTGTTATAATGTGGCTAAAACTGAAACGAGGGCTCATAATAATAATAATGATTACTGTCGATCATCTCCATCGTTTTCAGTACGGAAATATTCCCAGAGATGTCTGTAGCCTATGCATAGATAAAGCTGTGATCGTTTAAGCTCCATGTTCCTCGTCCTGTTCTGTAATATTCAATAAAGAATTACTTTTTCACATATTTTTTCGGAAGTCATGATTTTTTTAAATGTAGGACTTTGTACAAATGTATGCTTTGAAATCTTGCAAATTATATGGTTTCTAAAATAAGTGATACAAACATGGTTAAAAAGGAAACATTATTCAGCAAAAATATTAACAGATAAAATGTTTGATATCGATTGATTATTTAAGTCATTTAGGAATATACATGTCAACTCTTTGCGGCTTTTCTTGTTTTTTATAGTAGTTAATTTAGGATTTGGCACTGATAGTCAGTCGAGACATCTGTTGACTCACTTAGCCGGCTTGGAAATTGTGAATTTGGTACATTATACAGCCAAAACACAATTTAAATAGTTAAAAACATACTGTGTAAATAATGAATTTTTTTTCCACATGTCCACATACTTGATTATGGTGTACGTCGTGTCAATTCCAGTCCTGTAATTCTTCCTGAACTCCTCCTCAACTAAAGGATACTCAAATAAAACACACTATTTTGTCGACTAATCGATTCGATTTAATCAACAGATCCATAAAAGATCTTCAACCAATTAGCCAACTAATCGACTAAAAGGGGGCTACTCCAATCATTAGAATTGAAGGAGCCAAAAAAGCAGCACTAATCAGGTGGACTTACATTCATCAGCATTTGGCTAAAGCTTTGACACAATTCCATATGTTTTCTCATTTAAAGACTGAAATGGTGTTTAACAACAGCACTGAAATATGAAACAACACCCACACTGTCGTCTCTGTGTGATTTATTCTTTAGGATTTTTATTCTTTTCGTGCAGATAATTGTCACCTGAATGAAACTCATGGGTGTGCATGAAAATCAGGACATTAAACATAATTGCCTGTACTGCATTTTTCTCAAGCAAGGCACAAAATACGCAATTTTCCAGAGGAAGCTGAAAAGACAGTGTGGGATGTCACTGTGAAGCTTCCAGAAAGGGATTTTTTTAATTTTTTTATTCCTGTGTAGCTATAACCTTTTCCATCTCATTGACGTTGGTTGTCTAAAACCTCATGTCATGCAGGTAAGCCTTGTTCAAACCAACATATAAGGAATTATTTGTCCAAATGTAAAGCCTAATTTCTAGGAAATGAGTCCAAAGAAGGTTTTTAAAACACCTAAAATATTTCATTTGGATAAAAAAGGTGCAGCCGTGGAAGCATCGTCTTTGATGAAAACATTTCTCTCCAAGTTAACTTCATAAAGCTTCCAGAAATATCTGGGTAAAACAATAAAATACAATTTATGTGCGGCAGACAGCAGAAAAAAATATGGTTTTAATTACCGTGGAGTTACTTAAAGGGAAATATAAGGATAACATCTCGATGATACAGGGTTAATATTTGTGAATCTAAATGAATCACAGGAGGGCATACAGTAAGTTCTTGTTTTAAAATCCTCTGAGAATTTGATCTTGCTGTAACAGAACATGTCTCACCCTCCTCAAACAGCACCACGAGCCCCCACAACGTCCCCCTCCGAGCCCCCCCAGCACTCTGATCCTCTCATCTCGTGCGGGTGGATCTGCTTTACCTTATGAAACAAAGGCAATCTTTATTACAGTGGAGAAAAAAAGAACATTTCATCCTTCCAGGGGGTGACACCAACAGAGTGTCAGAGTGGTGGGTGCGCACAGAAACAGAAAAGAAAAAAAACCCACATACATACAGCGGTGATAGAAAGGTGGCTGATGAAGGGGTCGGGGGGTGCTTGTAGTGCGTTTTTGCTCACAGCTTCATAACATATAAGTCCATCTTAAGGAGGCAGTGAATGGGCCACACAGATGGATGCTGTTGTCATAGCGACATATGGTGGATGCAAACTCTGAAGGGGCCGAAGGGGCAATTACCTGATCAAAGGCCCGAGGAGACAGAGGTGTTTGTGAGGGGTCCGCAGCTGGCCCACAATACGCAGGTGTGGATTTTGTTCTTTACACAGAACATGATACAGTAAAGTGTGCCCTCGGCCTCTCTTAATGTACCTTTTTTTTAAGTTGTTCTTTTTTTTTATTCGAGTAAAATACCCTTTATTAATCCCCAAGGGAAATTAACTATACACATTAGGTCTGCAAACAC